TCGCAGCACGCAGGTAGCAGGAAGCGGAAAGCGCCCGCGCACGAGGCCGCCGCCGGGGGCTCGGCGTCGCCGGGGTCGGCCGGGGCGGACAGAGAGGGGCCGCTGCAGCCCAAGAAGCAGAGGCGTCTGGCGCCGCGACGCTCGCTGGTGCACTACCTGAAGGACCGCGAGGTGGGTGCGCCGGGGCGCGCGGGGCTCCCGGGCTTCGAGCGCCAGCTGAGCAGCCACGCGGTGCGGAGCCTGCCCGAGGTGCTGACGGAGCGCCCGCTGGCCCTGGGCACCCTCAACAAGGTGTTCGCGTCGCAGTGGCTGAACGCCAGGCAGGTGGTGTGCGGCACCAAGTGCAACACGCTCTTCGTGGTGGACGTGCACTCGGGCCACATCACGCGCCTCCCCCTGATGCGGGACAGGGTGCCGGCGCTGGTCGGGCCCCAGCCGGGCTGCGGCATCCACGCCATCGAGCTGAACCCCTCCAAGACGCTTCTGGCCACGGGGGGCGAAAACCCCAATAGTCTGGCCATCTACCAGCTGCCCACCCTGGACCCCGTGTGCCTGGGCGACCGCCAGGGCCACAGCGACTGGATCTTTGCCATCGCCTGGATGAGTGACACCGTGGTTGTGAGCGGCTCCCGCGACGGCACCGTGGCTCTGTGGCGTTTGGACCCTGACATTTTCAGTGACTGCATTGCCTGGCGCAATGTGATGAAGGTGCCCTTGTATGCCCACATCCGCCCGAAGGACGTGGAAGCCATCCCCAGGGCCAGCATCAATCCCGGTAACCGCAAAGTCCGCGCCTTGGCTTTCAGCGGCAAGAACCAGGAGCTGGGCTCCGTCTCCCTGGACGGCTACTTCCACCTGTGGAAACCTCGGAGCAACCTGTCCAGGCTGCTGTCCGTCAGGCTGCCCTACTTCCGGGAGAACGTGTGCCTGACCTACTGCGAGGAGTTGTCCCTGTACGCCGTGGGCTCCCAGTCCCACGTCTCCTTCGTAGATCCGCGCCAGCGCCAGCACAACATCCGCCCGCTGTGCTCCCGGGAAGGTGGCACTGGCGTGCGCTCGCTGAGCTTCTACCACGACATCATCACCGTGGGAACGGGCCACGGCTCCCTGCTCTTCTACGACGTCCGCGCCCAGAAGTTCCTGGAGGAGAGAGGCGACGCCGTCCTGGACTCCTCTCCAGGCACTGCCCGGAGGAAGCTGAAGCTCACCTGTGGCAGAGGCTGGCTCAAACACGATGGGTTCTGGGTGAACTACTATGGTGGTGTGGACGAATTTCCCAATGCTCTCTACACGCATTGCTACAACTGGCCAGAGATGAAGCTCTTTGTAGCTGGGGGGCCTCTCCCTTCTGGCCTCCATGGGAACTATGCGGGCCTGTGGAGCTAAGAATGACCGCTTGTTCTCAGTGCACAAATTGGCCCTCTAGTTCCGTCTAACTTTTCTTTCTCATGCTGCATTTATGCTTTTAATTCCATGCCTTTTTTTATAGGTGGAATTGCTCCAATTTAACTCTCCCTCCTCCATGCAGAGAAAGAACAAGATCATTTGATCATTGAAAACTTAAGACTTTCGCTCCTCTGCAACACTAATGTTTGGAATTTTCATACACATAATTTTGGCTAAATGTTAGTTTCATTCTGTTTTTCAATGATGCATATATTCTATTTCATTAAGGGGATGCAGTCATGGTCTTACAGTTATGTATATTTTCATTTTCTCATTACTAGTATTGCAACGTTATGGCACTTAGTTATTTTTTTATTGCATATATATATAGAATATTCAGAATAGTTTCTAACCGAAAGGTTTGTACTACACTCTGCAGAGCTTACTGTGATTTTACAGCATTATTCTAATTGCCAGATACACTGCAAGTTCTACATTTTGGAAACGTTCCATTTGAGAATTGTTATCTTATTGCATAAGTCTATATTTTTGATTCTGAAGTTCCTTTTTTAAAAAAGTTATCTGAGAATCTTGTGTTTGTATCAGTATCTCAGTTGATTATAATACTTTAGAGATGTAAGGGTTCTAGTTAATTGAGTTAATCAGAAAATCAAATTGATCTTTCCTGTCTTTCGAGTCTTATTTTAAGTTTGTATGGCTTGTCTTTGCTAAGTGAATGCCATAGGACTTTAAGACTTATGAATTATTTTAATATTCGTTATCTGAGGAACTTGCACAGATGTCAGTGCCACCACTCAAAGCAGGGATCCTAAGTGTAAATGTGAAAGGTATGACATACTGGTGGAAGGTGTTCTGATCCAGGAGATAGACTGGACATTTTTGGTCTGGCTATTTTTGATATCACATGTTATATTTGAGCACACTTTAAATTTTCCAGTTCAGTTAAGTTACAAGAAGAAAGTACAGAGAAGAAAAATGAGCCCATTAAGCTTATTCTGAAAAAAAAAAAGATTCTTGATTTATTAGGTTCAAATTATTAAGGTTTTGGTTTTTTTGAATTTGAAACATTCACCCCCAAGGTAGAATAAATATGTTGTTTAAAAAAATGTTATGGCCCTCAATGTGATAATATATAATTATCAGCAATACAAGAAATTTCTTTCAAGTTGATGGGCTGGAAATTAAAAATAAATAATATTAGTTTGAGGAAAAAACACTTTGGGATTCAGGCAAATGCAAATTGTAGGCTACTGTGACAAGTTTGTACTTCTTTATATGTTAGAATATTGAAAGAGGTAAGGAAAATTGGCCCTTCCTCAAAACTGGCCAGATTGCTGATTTTGGATTAATACTATGTCATGTCTGTTTTTACTGAATTTTTTTAAGGATTTACTCATTTCTTTGAAAGGCTGAGGGAGAAAGAGAGAGATCGAGCTTCCCAACCACTGGTTCACTCTCCAATGGCTGCAATGGCCAGGGCCAGGCCAGGCAAAAACCAGGAGCCTGGAACTCCATCTGGGTCTCCCACATGAGTGGCAGGGGCCCAAGCACTGGGCCATCTTTTGCATTCCAAGTTACATTAGCAGAGAGCTAGATGGGAAGCAGAGCACCTAGCACATGAACCAGCATCTTTATGGGATGCCAGTGTTGCAGTCAGTAGCTTAACCTGCTATGCCACAGCACTGGCCCTTGTTTTTCCCTAATGTTTTGACACTCAAATGCTGCCATGTTGTATAGCCACTACTCGTTATCGGGACCAGAAGTATTATAAATGATATGACATGTTTATTCAGAAATACTGGGAAAAAATTTAGTTCTTAAAGATTGTTTTAAAATGAGTTTATATTGTTGTTATATGGGAGTAAGACATATTGTGTGCATTTGTGTTTCTCTAACTCACTTGAAAATCTCTTTAGAAGAGAGAATGTAACTTTCATATTTATAGCCCCTCATTTCTCCATGAAAGCCTATCAAATCAAAGGCAATCAGTAAATATTTACTAAATGAATGTACTCGCCTCTGAAGACATAAGGTTCAAGGTTTTCAAAAAATAAATATTTACTCTTAATATAGAATCCTGCTACATTTCCAGCCCCCATCTCATTTAAATAATTTAGGTTTTTATTGTTTTTTATTTTTTATTTCCTTATTTGAACAACAGAAAGATCTTCTGTACACTGGTTCCTTCCCAAAATGCCCACAGCTGCCAGGACTGGGCAAATCCGAGGCTGAGAGCCAGAGCCACTCCAGGTTTCTCATGTGGGTGATCAGGGACTCCACTCCTTGAGCCATCACCTACTGCCTCCCAGAGTATGCACTGTCAGGAAGCTGGATTCGTAAGCAGAGATGGGATTCAAACCTAAAAAGCACTCTGATATAGGATGTGGATGTCCCAAGTGGTATCTTAATGACTATGCCAACTATCTGTTCCAGTCCTGCCTCTTTTAGGAAAATTTGCCTTAATGCATTTCTAAGTCAGACCATAGTGCTTATCCAAGTTCATAACACATATTTGTATGTTTTACTTGAATATGAAGGTGATAACTAGAAGGAAAATGTATAAATTTTATGTAGCACTGGAAATTAAACTTTTCCTTTGCAAACATTTAGATTAAAAAAGTCTTTAAAATATTGCAATTTTAATAGAAACTAATGTTGAAAAATCTTGTTTAATGGTTTGTCTTTTAACTTAAGTAAATGTTCAGTTATGTGATAAAAATTCCCATAAATGCTACCCAAAACCTATACCTAAGAATTTGCTGCTTATCTTTTTGTAGGCAATAAGATATTTTTATTGTATTTTTGTAATTGTTTTGGGACATTGGGAGAAGATTTTGATGGAAAAATAACAATTTCTATGTGGGTTGGGATTTTAAGTAAGCAATAGAAGGCATGCCTTTACTTTTCTTTGTTGATTTTTCATTGACTCAACTTTCTTGTATTTGGAGGTATATCTCTTTGATGCCAAATCACATAGCATGACTTTTCAAAAAATAAGAAACCTACCTATATTTGCATTTATATCTTGTGGATATGTAGTTCTTTGAAATATTTTCTACATTTAGAACAATAGTATACAGATGTACAACTGCAGATGTAGTTGTATTACCTGTAAGTGTGAAATAGTTGAAAGTCAACACTTCAGAAAACCCATAAATAACGGTCCACTTCAAAACACACAAGAGAATGTTAGACCCCAAATTTATGTACAAACTACCTATCACTGCTGCCTGAAAAACTTTCAGTTACATATAAGTATGCATAAAAATGTTAGCTCTGTTTGTCTCTAACTAGTCACATAAGCCTCTTGAATTATATCTCTGATTGAAAAAATGTATACCTGTTACTTTGTTGTTTGGAATGAGTTAGCTTCTGTTTTTTACAGGGAAAAGAAAGGATTTACTAATCACTGATACCCAGTTAAATAAAGTGAAGTCAATTCTCTCAGGAAAAAAAATGGTCTGGTAAATATACTTCAGCAAATAATAAAATGAATTCTCCAGGGGTTGCTTTTTATCCATCTGTACTCAATGTTGAGCAAGTTGTCCATTTTCCCCATTAATTTCTAATTTAGACTGGATTTAGAAAGAAATTCACAACCCACCCCCGGCCCAGATGTTTTACTGACAGCTTGCTAATCTCTGCAAGGACAAGGTAACCCAACTTCATTAGTTAGCAGGTGAGCTGCTCAAGGATACAGCATAGGCCACAGGTGTTTGCTTTAAGGGATGCAATTTTAAAATATGCTGAATGAGCTGATTATAATTATTTCTTATTTCCAGTCGGCTGTGAACCCACAAATACCTAGCACTGGGATTTGGCATCAGTGAAAGGGCAATCTGTTTGCAGGAGCTTCCCATGAAATTGTTAGGCAGGGCCTTAGGGCGGAGGTTTCTTTACTGCTAGCTGCTTTTTTTGCACAGCAGATGATCTTTATTTCATAATCTGTAGTAGCCCATACCTGTTACTGTTAGAAAATACCCAAGGAAGGGTGCCTTATAAAGAAAAGTTTATTTAGGTCATGGTATTAGAGGTCAAAGCACGCCTCTGGCATTGGCTCAGCACTGGGGAAACCCTCTTGGCTATGTCATATTGTGGAGGGTGTAATGGTGGGACCTTGTTATACAGGGAGAGATCACATGACAAGACAAGAACCTAGAAGGAAACTGATCCTACAAGAGCTGCATTCATCCCTTCAGAGAGCCATGGTCTCCATCCCTTGAAGACTTCACATTAGGCCGCATCTCTTAAAGATACTGTCTCCTCTTAATATTGTCACACTGAGGGGCCAGTGCTGTGGCACAACAGGTTAACACACTGGCCTGAAATGCCCACATCCCATATGGGTGCCGGTTCTAGTCCCGGCTGCTCCTCTTCTGATCCAGCTCTGCTGTGGCCTGAGATAGCAGTGGAGGATGGCCCAAGTCCTTCGGCCCCTGCACCCACATGGGAGACCCGGAAGAGGCTCCTGGCTCCTGGCTTCGGATCGGCGTAGCTCTGGCCGTTGCGGCCATCTGGGGAGTGAACCACGAGATGGAAGACCACTCTCTCTCTCTCTCTCTGCCTCTCCCCTCTCTGTGTAACTCTGACTTTCTAATGAGTATATAGATCTTTAAAAAAAAATTGTCACTCTGAGCATCATGATTCAACACGTAAACTTGTGGGACAAACCACCTCCGAACACATGCCCTTTTCCTACATTTCTGTTCCTATTAAACAACCTGTGACTTCTCATACAGAATGAATCACTTACATTGTCCATGCTTTAATAAGAAATATTTTGTTACTAGCTTTATTAGAAAAGTGATCAGATTGAAATACAATGAATGATCTGTCTAACTCCTCTTTCCTTTCCATCTATTTGAATGTAAACTCTGTCATAGCAACACCCAATACAAACATGGCACTGGAGTGTCTAGTACAATGACAGGTTCCGTGGCATAAATTGTTTCATCAGATTATTTGACCACTTATTAGTGAATCTAATAAGGACTGGTTTAATGGATGAAAATAGATTGAAACTAAGCCTCACAGTATTAATGATGGTGACTTATATTACTGAACAACGTGAGTAGGAAAGCAGCAAGTTTGATTAGTTCATTGTTTTGCCCTGGGATGATATTGGGTCTGGAGCATCACAATGAAATGAAATAAATACTACTTTAGAATCATAAATATGTATATTTGAATCCTAGTTCTATTATTTGCTTATTAAATAACCATGGGTGTGTTGTTTACCTTCTATAAACTTGATCTTTTATAAGAATACTTCAGAGACTGGCGCCGCGGCTCAATAGGCTAATCCTCCACCTGCAGCTCCGGCACCCCGGGTTCTAGTCCCGGTCGGGGCGCCGGATTCTGTCCCAGTTGCCCCTCTTCCAGGCCAGCTCTCTGCTGTGCCCTGGGAGTGCAGTGGAAGATGGCCCAAGTCCTTGGGCTCTGCACCCGCATAGGAGACCAGGAGAAGCACCTGGCTCCTGGCTTCAGATCAGCACAGTGCACTGGCCGCAGCGCGCCGGCCATGGTGGCCATTGGAGGGTGAACCAGCGGTAAAAGGAAGACACCTTTCTCTCTGTCTCTCTCTCACTGTCCACTCTGCCTGTCAAAAAAAAAAAAAAAAAGAGAGAGAGAGAATACTTCAGAAACTTTTGAGAAAATGAAAATAAATTTGTTTTGGTGCAAAAAGTAAAATATATGCATAGTTTTTTTCATAATATACATTATATCTGACTTTAAAAAGTTTACTGTTCTGATTTTTAATTATATAGTTATTTTGAAAGGCTGAGAGAATGAGAGCAAGACAGATATATCTTCTATCTGCTAATTCATACTCCAGATGCCCACAACATCCAGAGCTGGGCTAGACTGAAGTCAAGAAACAGGATCTCCATCTGAGTTTCTAACATAGGTAGCAGGGACTCACTTGAGCCACCCCTCCCCACCCCGCTGTCACCCAGGGTGCACATTACCAGGAAGCTAGAAGCAAGAGTGGAGAGTTGAATCCAAGCATTCTGATGTGGGATGAAGGCGTGCCAAGTGGTGTTCTAGCCGCTATGCCAAACACCAGTCTTGCATTTTTCATGAATTTTTGAACATACTTCATATTACTAATTTTTCTATCAATCTCTAGCATACTGCCTGATACCATATTGGCACTAGGTCAATATTAATTATCATCCTTTCTATAATCCTATCAGTTTTGTAAAGAGACATGTGTTTGTTGGTACTTGATTATTACAAAAGCAGTTCATTGGGGCCGGTGCTGTGGTGCAGCAGGTTAAAGCCCTGGCCTGAAGCACGGGCATTCCATATGGGCGCCAGTTCTAGTCCCAGCTGCTCCTCTTCTGATCCAGCTCTCTGCTGTGGCTATCTGGGGAGTGAACCAGCTGATGGAAGACCTCTCTCTCTGTCTCTACCTCTCTCTGTAACTCTATCTTTCAAATAAATAAAAATAAATCTTAAAAAAAGAGTTCATATGCATTACAGAAAATCAAATATGTACAGTAAATTATGAAACAAAACCACTACAGCTCCTCCAGCCAGGGATTAATACTATAAACAACTTATTGTATATCTATCAAGAATATATATTTCTGTATAAAATTATATATATGGGAGCCAGCTCTGTGACATAGCGTGTAAAGCCACGGCCTGCAGTGTCGGCATCCCATATGGGTGCCAGTTCAAGTCCCAGCTGCTCCACTTCTGATTCAATTCTCTGCTGTGGCCTGGGAAAGCAGTAGAAGATGGCCCAAGTCCTTGGAGCCCTGCACTTGCATGGTAAGACCTGGAGGAAGCTCCTGGCTCCTGGCTTTGGATCAGTGCAGCTCCGGCTGTTGCGGCCATTTAGGGAGTGAACCAGTGAATGGAAGACCTCTCTTTCTCTCTCTGCCTCTCCTTCTCTGTGTGTGTGTAACTCTTTTAAATAAATAAATATTTTTTAAAAAATAAAAATAAATTAAAAATTAAAATTATATATGTATATATGATATTGCTACTAAAATAAAAATACTTTTATAAGATTTATTTACTTATTTACTTGACAGAGGGAAAGGGAGAGAGAGATCAAGACTTTCCATCCACTGGTTTACTCCCCAAATGCTGAAGCTAAGCCAGGAGCCAGGAACTTTATCAGATGTCCTACATGGGTGGCAAGGGCTCAAGTAACTGCGCCATCTTCCATTGCCTTCTAAGATGCATTAGTAGGAAGCTGGATTAGAAGCGAAGTAGCTGGGATTCAAAAAGGCACTCCAATATGGGATGCCAGCATTGCAAACAGAGTTTTCATGCACTGTGCCACAACACCAGTTCCTGAAAACACATCTTTAAATTGTATTATAACCTACTTTTTCAGCTATGGACTCCATTTTTCCTTTTCAATACATATTCAACTTATCTAACATTTGGGGTGTTTACAGTACAAGCTGAAACTCAAAATGCACAATGGGATGTCCAACGAAGGAAATGGATTCCATCACCAGAAATCATTAGAATGTCACACTATATATTTAACCAAATATAAGATTGCACACTTACTTAAATCTCAAAAGTTGATTTAAAACATTTATTGTGCAGTGGCATTGTCCATATAGACATTTGCTTAATTCAGTGATCTTCAGACTCTGGATAACCTCAAAGCTGTTTCCACATATCATGAAAGTGAGAGATGCTCCAGCCTCAAGTCAGATCTCAGGTAACAGAATTGCCTGGCTAAAACACTGTTTTATATGAGTGTTTTCACATGATACATTTGAAACAAAAACAACAGCATCAATCTTAGAGGTTTATTATGTAACCAAGAGAAAGATAGCGAATTCACTAATAAAAATGTGAATATAGTATTAAGGGTATATCCTAAGTTCAATGAGAACATGAAGAGACTGGCAATTAATTCTGCCTGGAGAGGTTATGGAGGGTTCCCAAACAAGGCAGTGCTTGTGCTGGATCTGGAAAGTAAAATAAGAGTCGAGAAGGGAGCCAAAATCAGTTTGAAAAAGTCATATATGCCGGTATATATGTATATCCAGGGCTGTTACAGTTTGGCCTTGTGGAATTTGTAGGATTTCCAGATGGAAATGCTTGGTTGGCAGTTAGAAACATGAATCTGCATCTCCTAAGACATATTATTGCTAAAAATACAGGTGTTAAAGTTTTAACTATAGCAATGGTACATGGGAAAGGCATAGAGGGATGAATTAACTCAGAAATTCAGCCTTCTGGTTCTCATTCCTATCTTTTTTTCTCCTATCTTTAAAAGGTGCACACAAAGATATACACAAGCATTTCCATATGCTTGGCACATAGTAGGTAATCAATGACATGCAGATTGATGGCCAAATGTAATATTGTTTTGTGAATACTAAAAACTACTTAGTGGCTCCCAAAAAGTAATGTTTTATATTTTTATCTGTTAATGATTAAAATTAAGACATTTGATGCAGTGGTTGAGTCACTGCTTAGGATGCCTGCATCTCATATCAGAGTACCTGGGATGAAGTCCCAGTTCTGCATC